ATGTTTTGCATGGAACTTTTTACCACAATGATGAAAACGTACCTGCTCGGTGTTATCGATTAGTCATCGACTGAACCACAAACATTTTTCTAGTTTTCACCATCGAGCTGTCGATCCATGTGCGTATATACGTCCAAGAAATTGATTGCGGAGTATGGGAATAGTCGTCTGTCCCTCTATTTTTCTCCTTTCTTTAACGAACAGGTTGATTTATTTTCAATAATAAGTGTACAAATTATTTCGTTTTTTTTATGAATTTGACAAACAGTGATTTCAAGGTCTGAACAGCTCAATCCTTCAAATTTAATGCGAATTACACACAGCTTCTCTTGTGGAAATATAGCTAAATTATTTTTTTTCCTTGTAAATACAAAAAGATTTCTCTATAAGTTATTTTTTATCTGTCAGGTTTTCCTGTCTGACCGCTGTTAATAAAGAAAAAATGTGAGCCAGTGCTTGACTATCTAGTAGAATTCATGTAAACTTATGTCATGTTTTGAAATGATCACAAAGAGAATTCCAAGGAAAAGTAAGTGAGATTTTTGGAATGGCTTTCATATATAGTGCACATTTCCTTTAAAGAATATCATTCACGTACGGGTAGTGTGACTAAGGGTGGACAGATTTGCTTTTTTTTCGGTGCCGTTCTCGGTCCCACGGCATTCTCAGGTCCCATTTCCGGATAAAGTCCCACTAAAAAGTTTTAGGTGCCGGTCCCGGTCTTGAAACTTATTCCCAGTGTGAATTGATTTATTTGTTTCGCTAAGCGGAAATATCTAGGCTCGTCTTTATTCTAGCGGTTACCATTTGACGCTTCTTATTTAGCCCCTCCGGTTCAATAGAATTAAAATTTTGGCGTGTTCGAACGATTTTTTTTTGGAATTTGCTCGGGTTTTGCACTTTTGAATTCAAAAATTGAAGCAAAATAGCATGTGATTGCACTAATTTTTCTAAATAGAGTCCCGGTCTCCTCAGCATTTTTTTAGTCCCGGTACCGGTCAAGGCCCCGTATGAAACTGAGACCGGGACCGCGACATGTACCGTCGGCCCTTAAGTGCGACTTCAGAGAGCGACAAAATTATGGATGCAAGAACTCAATAAATTTGAAAACCGAAAGAGCCAATTCTATGTTTTTTACTTTTATACAAACTTGACACTCAAAACTACTTGAGTTATGTCCTCATTTCGACCGATGTTTGTCGGTTATTCAAAAGATTTCAAAAGTGAACAGAATATAACTTATAATTTTGTTCTCGACATTTTTCGTCTCGAAATTTTGTTTTTGACGTCTGTTATAGCCAGCGCTGAGTCGTTCAAGGTTGTTTTGATCTATATCGGTCTAGTCTAGGTTTCATATTTTTTTTCGTCAATCAAATTTCATCGTGCTGTGGTTTTTCCTAAACGCTTTTTCAATTTGTTCCTGATAAAATGCTTGAATGTTTTTTTTTATCTTAGTCACAAACACATCTCTCTAATAAATTCCAGCACCAAGCTGCTCATCTCTTTAATAAAAAATACTTTTTGTTAGGAGTGTAGACACTATGTGCAACTCAAAGAACAGAAAGTCAAGTGAGACATATTCTTGTTGAGAGGTCAAGAGACATTTCTTTCTGTTCACCACTGAACTGTGGTTACAGATGACCAGTAGACGCTTGAGTTCGGTTTAGGAACCCAAACCGCGGTTTTCGCTTCCCGAAAAAAACTTTTTTTTCTTCTGGTTCGATTGTGGCTTCGTAACTTTTTTCGGCTCTAAAGCGTTTCGGAATTTTCTAATTATGTGTTGTTTGGAAGGAGTAGCTTAGTTTTTTCAGAAAGTATGACGGAGCATCGAAAAGTTAAAAAAAGAGAACTGTAGGATTGGAAATTTCCAGTTTCTGCTTCTAATTTTTTGTTCTCTCATTACTCCACTCCATTTGACTTAAAAGAATGGTACTATAGAAAACTAAATTGGGACTTTTAAGGAAACCCTCGTTTAACAGTAAGGGCGAGAATCGAGAGATATATGCAGGGAAGACGTTCAATACAAAATCGGTTCCCATCAAGCACTTTTCCTTCCTTTTTATCGAAGACGTACTTTGAAAATAAAACCACGATGTTTTGGACAAAACGAATAGATCTCATTTTTCTGGACTATCCGTCATTCATTGTATAGTAAAAGCTAAAGCTCCAAATTTCCGTTGTGCGATTTTCCACTGGCTTTTTTCTTTAATTAATCTTGTCACTACTTTTCGCCGGATATCATGAAATATCCAGTTTTCAACTTCCTCACAAAAAGCACAACAGAAAATAATGATCTTCAAATTCGATGAGGGACTAATAGACATGTACCAAACTCATCCGGTTTGGAAATAGGCATTTATTTGACCCGAGCCGGCTTGGGTCTAACTATGTCTGCCTACAAGCTGGCTGGGTTTGGTACATGTCTAGGGACTATTTTTTTCTGGCAGTTTGCGTGATATTTTTTCTCTACGGGTGGCGATAGCGTAGTTATTCCCTCACAACGCAAAGAGAAATGAATAATAACAGATGAATATAATCTGTGTATGATTAATATTTATTCTTGTTTTCTACAGCATGTTTTATCCATCTAGATATCCTTTTTCTTAACGTAATAACGAGTAAATATTTCTCTCTAATCTTTTTTATGACACATAGTAATATTTCTTTAGTAATTAACGATTTCTTTCGCGCTATAAGGAGGGGAGAGGAGTGGAAGTTGAAGTATTTCTCTCGAGTTTTTTTTGGTGATGTGTTGGTCCGAGTGGTATGATTTTTTTTACGCATACATGTTTTCAACTTGTTTTCAAGGGAAGCGGAGGAGTTTATGTATCTCCTTCCATTTTTTCTGACCTCGCGACAAAAAAAAAACATTATGGTTTCACTCTCACTCTGATAACTCAATTCGTTTTTTTGCCAAACGAAAAAACAAAATAATGAAAAATAACATTTGCTTTTGGGTTGATTCAGGTAGAAGCTGTTTGTGTCAATATTCCCTATTTTTTTTATATCACAAAAAGGAAATACAATCGTAAGGTGCCGAAATGTCATCAAAAATGAGCTATTTGAGAAGTTACGAAATATGTGTCAATATAACTCCCTTTTTTTCTTGATGTAAAACAGAAGGGAAAAAACAGAACTAGTGTGTGTTAGAGACTCTGTCTCTAAGGTCACAGTGCCCCTTCCTCAGCTGGGACTCTCTTCGTTGAGTCATAGCATGTGGCTTTCTTTTTTGTTTTGTTTGTTCTCTTTCTTTTTTCTTTTTTCGCGTTCCATTCTAAGGCTTGTCTTTTTTGATAGTTGTTTTAGCAGTTCAGCCTGTTCACCGTTCTGTACGTATTTTTCGTTTTTTGATCATCTTTCTCCTCCTCTGTTCTTGATATCTTTTGCATGGCATAGTTGTTAACTCATTCCTTTTCCTTTTTCAGTTATATAGTTGTGTGTTTTTGTTTTTCCATTCGGTTTTTGTTTTTCCCACATACATATCTCTTAGAGTCTTTTCCTTCGAGCACGAGTTAGAGTCTTTTACAGTGTGCATCGAAAATGAGAAGGGTGTTTTGTGCAGAGCTAGCTGCTGCTTGAATATTATATAACCATTTTTTGTTTGACATTTTTGAAGAATTCCTACGGCTCTGAAGCAGTTCTCAATCCTTTTGCTGATAGACATTTCAACTATCAACGGTACCTCATGAGAGTGAATGAGCACTCGAACCTTCGTACATTCCTTTTCTGCTTGGATAATTTCCGACTGTCCCGGTTGCGAAATTCGAATAACATTATTAGTTATGGGTTTTTCCCCACTTCTTGCTCATTCCGAATAAGGCCTATATAAAGGAGAAGAATCATCTTGGTAAGCAATCGACAGAGTAAGGCAAGTAAGTGAAGAATGAGAGGAAGAAGATAGAAGTAAGCCTCTTAAAATTCTATTCTTGTTTGGATTATTTTGTACATCGCCCGCTAGTGCACGTGAGATATATTTCCCTTCTCACATAATTTTTTTAATACAAAGTCTTGCAAAATGAATACGACCACACCGCTACATTAAAAAGTAGCATGAAGATTCACAGGTGAGCAAGAAAGAAAAGAAAGAAGATACCACATCCTCTCAGCGTGTGCAGAGAACTTTGTCATTTCTTATCTACTGCCGTAAAAATGCTCTTTAACTTTATACGCTCCGTTTTTAACAGTGTGTTTACTCATCTTTTTTTGAGCAGAAAGACATTGACTTTAACAGTAAATCGATTATTGGCTTTTGTTTCTGTTGTCGGTTGATCGAAATTTTCGGCACAAGATGTTTGCTGATTTTTTGCCCATTTTAAAATATTTCAGACGAGTGAAAATCTATGGATTAGAGTCAAAATTTGATACTCGTTCAGAATATGAGTTGAAAAATTTTGGTTTTAGTTCAAGAGTGGTGAAGAAATGTTAAAGGGCCCGAAGGATTTGATTGTATGAAAAAAGTTTTCGCACCTCTTTGTATTTGGATTATCGTATTTCGAAACTAATAGTTGGAGCATTTATTTCTATAAGTTTGTGGATCGGACTCTGATCTACAAAATGTACCATTTTCTTTTTATATATGCACGTGAAGTGTCTCACTTTTCTTTCTCCTAAACCATGAATGAGGCTAAAACAGGCGAAAGACCTACTCTTGATTAAAAAACGCGTCTTCGGAGAAAATCACTTTTTACAAAAACGATAATTGAGATAACAAGCCTACAAATAAAAAAATTCGTTAATGGTATGTTTTGTATACCAGACGTTATTGTACAAGCCAGGGTGTCGGATAAGTCCGAACAGTTTTGTGTAAAAATATTCCGGTTCGAACCCATCGATTTTCAACTGCCTGAATATTTTCAAATGGGCAAAAAACGAGCAAAGATTTTGTACCAGAACTTCCGTCTCGCCAGTTAAGTAATGAATTCATCTTCACTGCCATCATTTAAATATTTTTCTAGATTAAATTTCGATTAGAGCTATAACACTACTAGTATACGAAGAATATGTCTGGCGCGGCTATACTTGGTGGAAAAATTGTAGCTGGAACAGGCCTAGCTGCAGCCGCTGCAGCCGCTCCAGAAATTGTTACAGTGGTGGTTGTCGCCGGAGTAGCTTACGTTGGAGTTCGCGCTGCAGTTGGTTTGGCAGTTGGTTTGGCTAAGTTAGCAGGGAAAGGGATAGATTGGTTGGTGGACAAAATTTCTCAAGATGGTACGTATTCTCGCAAGTTGCTTGTTCGAAAGTAACCTGAATTTTTTTTGAAATTTCAGACTCTCATGAGGCGACGTCGAGTAACAGTGGTCGAAACAGAACTTCTGGTCAAGAAGCAGTAAGGCGCGCGTAATGCAAAAGTGTCCTTGGTCTTTTCTTTCATTTTAACTTAATATATTCTAACAGTGATCGAGGCTAATTCCGAATATCACCTTTTAGTTCGAAAAGTTGAGTCCTAATCTACTAATAGTGCGTCTCCCGACTTGTGCAGTTTTGAGAATCTTCCTTTCTCATTGTAAACTTAGAAATGAGCTAGCAACCTGGGGGCTTGGTGTGATCCTACTCAGAATTTGATTCTCTGTCTATCTGTGGCATTTTGAGAAAATCGGTTTCTGAGGTCTGGAGATCCGGTCTTCTAGAAAACGACAGACGTAAACTCGAATGTTTTTGAACCCATTCTCATCGAATCTGTCACCACTTTTCACCTGGTAGATTTCATGCAAAAACTGCTCGGTTTTTTATTGTTTATCTTTTTACTCCTATCTAAAGAACAATATAAAAGGAAAAACTATTTGCGCTTTTGTCTACATGTCAAGACGTATCGTTTGGCGCAGCATTCAAGACTCTACCATCTAATTCTGAGGAGTTGATGCCTCTTCAGAGTGTCGAAGTCAATCCTCGAGCCGCCCCTAGAAACCGTTCAGCTACATTTTCAGTTCTTCCTGAAAGGGTCTAAAAAATAGTTAATCTAGGACTAATGTTTGACATAGAATTCGAAAACATCAAATGAGTGCTAAGAAATGGGGTCGCGATTTCAAAAATAAGCAGATTTTGAAGTTTTCGACCCGACCGCAGGATTTCGCGTTTTTCTACATCAAGACTCAACTTTTTCGAACTAAACAGTTGATATTCGGAATCCGCCTGAGACACTTTTTTATAGAATATATGCGTATCTAAAACAAAAGTAAGGATCCGCGATACTTTTGAACTATGCGCGATTTATGTTTCTCTAATTTGCAGCCTTCACAAGATCGAAGTAGAGGTCGTGATAGAAATGCGAATTCTGGAACTGGACAGTCAACGACTAATTCCTCGCAATCTCAGCCTCCAAACCAGCCTCCAAATCGGCCGCCAAGAGAACGAAGCACAAGTAACGTAAGTAAAGCTTACAAATACTCTGCATTTTTCTGGCTTATCTTTTGTGCAGTATGGATTACAGAATATCATCCTCTATTCATTACTTTCCCTCTCGGTCCGAAAAGCTTTGGTTTGTTTCTACTTCAAGGATATTTGGTCTCTTAGAGCCGAGATTCGCGTTTCTATATAGAATATTTCATCGTTTCCAAGCTATTATACGAAAAGGGTATGGCTAGGAAGTTTTTCCCAACCTGTTTCTTTCCAATGAGGGCTTTAAATCTCAACTCACTGCAAAATTTCAGGAATGCACAATATAACTCTCGATCGATCGGAAAAAAGTAACTTGAAGGAAAGACCATCTTTGAGGAATTAGAAATACATCTTGACTGAATTTTACTGTCTTATACTGTCATTCAGGCTAGATCTCTTTTTGACGAATTCTAAAATAGATAGTGTGGTTTTTACAACTGCGTTACCTTTTTTTTTCGTGATCTAAGTAAATAAATGCGACTAACCCATTATGGAGAAGACGTCCGTGACACAACATTTCCGCTACCGACACCACCGTTCCGGACATTAGCGCTACTTCGCATACGACGGCACACTGTGCGGTCAGATGTGAGGTAGCGGTAGTGTCGGGTAGCGCAAATGTCGGTGAACCAAATAGATTATTGTTCTATAAAAAGAGGTTTGTTATCAGCCCACTAAAAACGAAAGCAAACAATTTTTATAAGCTTCAAATAAGGACACAACCACGAGGTGTGAAGGCTATTTAAAGTGACGCATATGAAATTAATCTGAGAATGGTTCGAAATCTCACATGTTTAATGAATAGATTTTAATAGCGAAAAACAAAACTTTGGACAAGTCGACCGAGTCGGGTCACTCTCATGTTCCTCAAGTTACTCCACTTTGCTTACTTATATCCTCGTCTGAAATCTTGTTTACTTACAAAACCAGTGGTCATATCAAAAGTTATAGAAAAATCACCACGTTTGAGCCAGTTGTTAAGTCACCATTGCTAGAATTTTGCAAAACATCCCTTTTTTCTCTCGCTATAACAGTATGTATGTTCATGAATTTCAGGCCAATAGACTTACAAAAGTCAAGGTGAAAAAGCAAATATCGAGTGGTATTTGCCAAGTTGAGATTGCCAGAAGACAAAGCATTGAGGTCACTGCTGCTTTTATGGCAATACCAGATCAACTACAACCTCAGATGACGCAAATGGTGACAGCAGATGCTCATAGATCTATGGTAAGACTAACAACTTCCTCTACACGCTGTTAGTACACTTTTTATCAGCAACTTCCATGAAGTTGGTAGAAAAACGCTTGTGGTAAAGTAAATTATGTTCTTGATTTTCTGAAAAGTCCAATGAGGATGTTAAGTTCATCAATGTGTACCAACTTTATCTCATTTCGTTTTGCTTTCAGGCAGTGTTCAATGATGAAAATCGGGGGTTATTGCACATAGCAACAAATCATGGTCCAGAATTTCAGAGTCTTGGATTACGTTTAGATGGGTCAAATACCACGGGGGAAGTAATTCCGGTTGGTATATTAGATTCTAGATCATGGAATAAGCAAAGCGAAGTGCATAGTTATTTACAGAATGTTATGAGAACGGAAAATTCGTATCTAGGTCGACTCGTTAACGGTGAGACAAACGCTTTAATTTTTTTCAGAAGATTCTTTTTTATTCATGCAGTTACGTTGCATGAAATTTTTTGCTAGGTCTTAATCAACTTATAGTCATATAATTTATACAGAAGACGGATGTATTCTTTCCTTTTTAGATGCTGGGGGGCAACGTCAATTTGGCTGGCAAATTCGTGATGTTAATGGTAACGACCAAATTCTTATGATTGTTTTTAGTGATAGGATAGCATATGAATTCGACGGTCGCGGTCCGTTTAGTGGTACTTTTCGTGAAATCATAACAGCGTTTCTTATCGTAGATCCCGGGAAATATGAGTTCCAAAAGTGAAAGACTTTAAATTACATTGACTTTGCAAAATACTGCACTTTATTTGTGAATCCGGTGTATTTTTTTTTCTAATTCCTCGTCATTTTCCGTTTTCTGGCCTTTCATTCTTTTACAGTTTGTAATGATTTTTGCTTTTTTCTTTGAGTCTTAAAAACCTAAGTGATTTCATATGCTTTAAATGAAGAAAACTAGAGAAAGTAATCGAAACTTACGAAAAATCTCAACTAAAACACAATCGTCTTTTGAAACTCTAAGCTCTCGATGATAAACTTGATAACTGAAGAGATTGTACGGGACTGCATCGTGTGGAAGATTAGAATGGCACTTTTTTGTTTTGGCTATAACTCTGTCAAATATAGCTGTACCGAACAAATTTTTTCTGAAAATGAGATACTTGCGAAAAATCAGAATTTCTCATTCGAGAGCCCTCAGAAAGTTGCAGTTTTTTTGCGATGCTTACTTTTTTTATCGTTGTGATTAAAAAGCATTTCGATGTATCGTTTTTTGATTTTCCTTCAAAATGAAGAACACTATCGCATGTTAATGTCAAACATTTTCCTAACGCACTCAAAGACTTAGCATTCAAATCAAAATTTGTCTAGGTTTTGGATTCGGACAAATGTTATTTCTGAATCCAGATCTGTCGCACACTCTAACATGTATAGAAAGTTAGAGATACGCGATAAGGAAAAGGCACGGTCGTAAACCATTGATCACGACGTTTTTCGTAGCTTGTCCCCCACATGAAACATCAATGAAAAGCGCTAATTAAGACAACGAGTCGCTTTCTGTGCGTCATAATTCTAAAGTATCATTCTCCGAAACAATTAGGCTGAAGAGAATTTCGGGATAAAAAATCAGGAACTAGAGATTGTTTTATCAAAAACTTCCAAGTACCTTTTCGACGCCTTTTTTCTCTTGTAAGTTAACTGCACCAAAATTCTCCATTTTTTATTATTGTATACAGATTCAGGTTTTACTTCACTCAAATATAATTGAAAACTTTTTCTTCTGTCCATTTGAATATTTTTGCATACAAATGTGAATGCAAACGCGAGTTTGGAACAAATTTGTATTTTAACGCGGTTCTCGACCAAGTTCAGCGTCAAAACGCGTGTAAAAGTGACACTTTGCACGGAGAAAAACGCAATTTTTTGACAAAATATATCAAAAATCGCTTTTTCCACCCTGCAAATTGCGACTTTTACTCGCGTTTTGACGCTGAAATTAGTCGAGAACCGCGCTAAGACGTCAATTTTAATCTAAACTCACGTTTGTACGCAAAAAAATTCATATGTTTCGAACTTATTCGGACTCGATATGTGAACATGGTCTATAATCATCTCCCGAGCTTGACTTCTTTAAACGTTTCCATTCTCCATCTGAATTTACAAATTGAATTTCACCTTCATTTCCATACTGAATACCACTCCAGCCGTGTACTTCACTCCTCATCTCACGCCTTACACGGGCACGAAATTCTTTTGCTTCATCTTCATTCTTCCACATTTGCTTTTTTAAGAAGGAAAGAATATGTTCTACAACTAAATCAGGCAATTGTTGTTCAGGTATTTGATTTAGCAGATTCAAACAGGTTTCATAGCTGACTAAAGGAAGATTGGGTATGGATAGGTGAGGTGGGATAGGGAAATCTGGATTTACGACAAAGAAGTTGAGAAAAGTTCGACGACGTGCAATTGAAGTTGAATTACGAATTGAACAGAAGCGATGAGGTAGCGAGTTGCGAAAGACTATACCTGAATCTGTTTCAAGTTTGATATAACGATTTATTTCAAAGTTAAAGCTATCAGCATAACTCTTGCTCGGTGTATTTGCCGGTAGGGATGTTACGGCCCGAACGGCCGTCGTTCGAACATGGCCGGGACGAACAAGGCCGGCTACTCGAACAAGGCCGGGTCGAACATGGCCGTCTCCACGAACAAGGCCGGGACGAACATGGCCGTGTATGCGAACATGGCCGGGTGTGTTCGACAGGTAAAATGTGAAAAGGCTAACTCCTCTCCTGTTGATCCTATTTACTTGAAACTTGGTATTTGAGGTTTTTAAATTATGCTCTTTCTTTTTGTCTCTTGACACTTCTTTGTAGGACACACAGAAATGCCTTTTTCGCAAAGCGACATCTATGACGTGTAAAAATCAATAAAAACACGTTTTTAGATGCTCCCTGCGAAGTCATTACGAGAATCAGTAGATTTCTTAGCTGGATCAACAACTGTTTCTCCCAGAAAAAGTTGTTATTAGTTAAAAAAGTACTGTTTTTCCTGTCGAACTTTTTTCTTGGATAAAAGTTGAAGTTTTTCTTTTCTTTCTTTTGCAGATACACATACTTTATATGATTCAAGACAGACGTATGTTAATATTAAGTTAATTAAGAAAACATGCGTTTGCACATGTGTCAATAATTTGTGACAATAATAGAATAATCTTGATTTTAATCATATGCATGTTATTACCTGATCAAGTACCACCACCCTCCGTAGCTCGGGCGACTAAGATAATAAACTTTTGCGATTAATAGAAATGTGATTGAGGAATGAGTTATCTAGCTGTTGGATAAACGAATTTATATAAGAAAGCAGGTTATCTGAGCAGCTCTATGGGTGTATCATACATAAAATGGCAAAGTGCCGTTCTTATACTTAACTAGGGGGCACTTAGTGCCCTTGTAGGTGCACTTGTATGAAAGAACACTGATCACTTATCTCTAACGAGGGAACCTTTCGAGGTGATTAAAAGCTTTTTGATCGACATCTAGTGGGTTATAGGTTATCGACCATGCTGATTCCGAATATGGTCATGGGACTGGCCCATAGCACTTCGAAGATCCAGTCTTCTGGAAAACCAGTTTTTCAGAAATCCCAAAAAATAACTCAAGCCTTTCTTAATAATGCAGGATTGTAGCGCGCAAAAGAAAGGTCATGTAGAGCTGGGGGATGTATCATTTTAATCAGAAATTTGCGCGCTAGAACCCTGCATTATTAAGAAAGGCTTGGGTTATTTTTTGGGATTTCTGAAAAACTGGTTTTCCAGAAGACTGGATCTTCGAAGAGCTATGGGCCAGTCCCATGACCATATTCGGAATCAGCATGGTCGATTACAACACTGAATTTATTTCTCCTGCTACAGTATATCCATATACATTTATATGTTATACTTATGCGAAAACATTATTAAATCCTGGTACTCGATTGGGATGTGTAGCATTATCAAGTAAAATGCCTTTAGATTATCGTTCATCATTTCGTACATATTTACCTCAAACAATAATAATGAATGGATATATGGTACCTGATTGTGTAACACAATATATGATACAGGATATAGAAACATTATCCGATTTTCGAAAACTCATTCATTGTCACATAAACATACCGATTTTCTTGGAGCCTTAGCAGAGCTGGGCAACTCCAACTCCGGAGTTGAGGATTTTTTTGTTGGAGTTGGAGTTGAAACTGAGATTTTAGGCGGCTGGAGTTAGGTTTTTGACTTTTTATTCTCAACTCCATTTTGCATTTTTGGAAATATTCAATGGCTGTAAAACTGATCTTCCAAACGATTGTGGCTGTGTTCACGAGTGAATTCGGAAGTTCTTTGCGACCGGAAAAAGCTCAAAAACGTCCAGAATCCTGCTAAAAACGGAAAAATCTCCCGTAGAAAAGCGAAGCAACCGGAGTTGAATCGGAGTTGAGATTTTTGTTGACGGAAGTGGAGTTAGAGTTGAAAAATTGAGCGGAGTTGGAGTTAGAGTTGGATCGGAAATTTGAAAACGGAGTTGGAGTTGAAAGTCAGCGGAGTTACCCAGCCCTGATCCTTAGGACTGGTATTCATTGGCTTCAGGTGGCTTTGAAATCGAATGGAATATACGTAATCGACTATACTGGATCGGATGGCAATGTTTATCTTGCGAAAAGAAATCAAAAACAGAGTGACAATCGAGTTTTATCAAAAATGAGGCTTTCGGATTCTGTTGTTGGTAACATTGCACTAATTTGATCGTTATTCGTGATGTTACTCTAGTAATGACCAAATTACCCAGTGAAAAAAAACGAGCGTGATTCCGCAAGTTCCTGGGGGAAAAATGAAACATTTTCACGCGGGAAGTGAAAGTCTTCTGCAGGAAAAGAAGCACTTTTCCCGCCGCATTCTGCAGGAATC